ATAGTATTTACAGAGTTTACATTACATTATTTAGAGAGTTTATATTACATTATTTACAGAGTTTATATTTTATTATTTACAGAGTTTATATTACATTATTTACAGAGTTTATGTTACATTATTTGCAGAGTAAAATGAATTCCCATTTAGGTTGAATTTTTGTAGGTACGTCTGCCATGATTCTATTTTGCATAAAGATCAGCAATCTAATTGAGAAGAAAAAAGAAAAAGTATAGAAATAAGAACAGAAAGCTACAACGAAATTCTTGAATGGCAAAAGTTGATTTATGAAAAAGATTATATTCTATTATTCACAGAGTGCATGTTATATTATTTGCAGAGTAAAATGAATTCCCATTTAGGTTGAATTTGTATAGGTACGTCTGCCAAGACTAAATTCTTAAATGGCAAAAGTTTAAGTTATGAAAAAGATTATATTCTATTATTTACAGTGTTTATATTATAGTATTTACAGAGTTTGTATTACATTATTTACAGAGTCCATGTTATATTATTTACAGAGCAAAATGAATTCCTATTTAGATTCAATTTTTCTAGGTACATCTATCAAAACTAAATTCTTGAATGGCAAAAGTTTGATTCATGAAAAAGATTATATTATATTATATTCAGAGCAAAATGAATTCCTATTTAGATTCAATTTTTGTAGGTACGTCTGTCAAGGTTTAATTTTACATAAAGATCAGCAATCTAATTGAGAAGAAAAAAGAAAAATTATACAAATAAGAACAGAAAGCTACAACGAAATTTTTGAATGGCAAAAGTTGATTCATGAGAAAGATTATATTCTATTATTTACAGAGCAAAATGAATTCCTGTTTAGATTCAATTTTTGTAGGTACGTCTATCAAATCTAAATTCTTGAGTGGCAAAAGTTTGAGTCATGAAAAAGATTATATTCTATTATTTACAGAAATTATATTCTATTATTTACAGAATTTATATTAAATTTACAGAGTTTATATTACATTATTTACAGAGTGTATGTTACATTATTTGCAGAGCAAAATAAATTCCCATTTAGATTCAATTTTTGTAGGTACGTCTGTCAAGTTTCAATTTTACATAAAGATCAGCAATCTAATTGAGAACAAAAAAAAAAAATTCTACAAATAAGAACAGAGAGCTACAACTAAATTCTTGAATGCTAAAAGTTGATTCATGAAAAAGATTACTAGACATATCAAGATTGTTAGCCGTCGGACATGTTCTTGCAGTTTTGCTTACCCATTCAAGTACGATATGGATCAGCATAGAAAATATTAGTTCCCGAGTAGCCTTCTTCGAATATACACTGTGTCTCGTTTAAGCGAGTACACCGTACTACACCAAAATACATAGTTACTAAAAATCTATTCCCACAAAAGTTCCCCGTCAGAACCGTCTGAATCGCGTAGTAATAATTGCTTATTACCACAACTCCACCCATAAGAAAACAATGATTGCTACACGATGTAGCCCGTCCTACCAAACAACTTTCACACGAACTATCAAAAACCACGTTGTCCGAGACATCCTCTACCTAAACAACCCCGTGTATTTCAATAAACCCAGTACAAATCCAGATCAAACCACAAATCGACCACCATCGCGGCACGGACGCATCCCCATAGGACAGAAATTCGACTGTTGGATCCTCCTCGTTCCCAACACCCCAACCACTACCCCTCCGTAGTGTGTCCCTAAAGAGAAATCCCTGAACCAGAACCAGTCCAATTCCTTTCTCTTCGTTAACATCCGTGCTCTCGAGTGTCGTCGCAACCGACAAGGGAGAGGGCAGGTATCCGCGCATGTGTGCACCTATGCTTGAAAATAAACCAACAAGCCGCTATCGAAATCTACGGACACCTCGAGCGCGTCGCACATGTGCTACGCACCTATTTACCAACGAAAGAGTGTAAGAGAGAAAAAGGAAGGGAAAGAGAGGGTAAGACAGCTTCCTTTACTTACCTAAAGGATCCTTGGTGTAGGATCAAGGATCCTTTAGGTAAGTAAAGGATCCTTTACTTACCTAAAGGATCCTGTCTCCTAGCACGCGCGTACCTACACCTCGCGAACGCAAAATGGCGTTCGCCGTGCAACGGCAACGTCCGTCGCCACTGCTCGTAGAGAACGTTTCGGGTGTTTTCTCGTGCCTAATCGCGTGCGCGGTTCAGAGTCGCGTCTCATCCGTGAACGACAGCGTTACCATTAGCGAAACGGTAATCGCGAGAGCACCGAATGGCATCGCATCGCGACAACCACGGCTACCGACTCTGCGAATAACGCTGACGACATCGACGATAACGTGACAGCGCAAAGCGATTCAGCGAGTTACCGGCTACTTACTAAAACGCTGGCAACCGTTCGGATCTTTACGCGTTTCGCAGCCACCGCGGTCTCCTTTCGTCCTGCATTCTCCCATCTCCGATAGAAAAGAATATCTATGCGCGTGCACGGAGAAATAAACCGCGCATAGTGCCACTTGCCACACGGACCAATTGACCACGCAAGTGTTTACCGTCCCCTTCGACTACGTGACGCTACGCGATATTCGTTTGGTCTTACTTCGTACGTCGTTGTCGGTCGCTATCGGTTCGCCGATAACACGTCCGCAAAGTTGTCGCGTGGAAAACGGACCAAGACAAAGTACAACGTTCCAGTACCTGGATCGCTCGATCGCGACAGACAAAGGTACGAAAAGGTGCGAAACGCGTCCGTCTGCGGAGGCGCGGGTCACGTTCTCATCTATGGATCCTAATCGGTCGGTTCTCCCTCTCTCTCTCTCTCCCTCTCGGCTCGTTCCTCCACTCCTACATTTCTCTCTCGGCCCTTCAAACGTTTAAACCCCCCGTTGAACGTACGCGAGCGCGCGCTATTATCTTATTTACGTCTCATTGTCCGAATGTATCATACCAATATCGAGCGAGCGCTCGCAGCGAGCAACAAAACACTTCTCAATTGGAGCCAGGCGAAAACGGTCCGTTTAGAAGTTTCCTCGAACCGAGACGCAGAGATCCTGCCGCGCTGTAACTTTCAAAAATCCAACTACGCGAGATCGATCCGTTCGATCTGTTTCGTTCGATCGATCCGTTCGATCTATTTCGTTCGATCTATTTCGTTCGATCGGTTTCGTTGGATCGGTTTCGTTGGATGGAGAGGGAGGATTCCTCGAGGCGAGAGGTCCTGGGTGAAATCAAAGGACCAAGGTGATCGCGAAGGCCACGGGACGTTTATGGTTATATTGGAGCAGTAAAGCAATTTTCTACTTCCAACTCCTGACCTCGCCTCGGTCTGCCGTTATCCGTCGACTCTGCCCGGCGAAACTTTTATTCCAAGCCATGTTTTGACAGCCGGCGGGTTCTGTTTGACGAGCATCGCTACGCGTTCCGTGAGATTGATCGTGTCGCCGCCGCTGCGGCTCTCAACGACGCGCGTTAACGATAAAAACGAAAAGGAAACCAGCATCGACCTGAACGTCTCCGGTAGAACACTCGTCCGATCCCGTTCGTCTCCTTAAAAAATTCCAAAGGATGTACAGGAAGGGTATGGTCAGTAAAAGCGATCAGCGCAACTTCTAGAAAACTTTTCAACATTTATTTGGACGTTCGTACGCGCAGGCGACCGCGCGTACTCGCGCCGGTCATACGTATCCATATATACATGTACGAAAAATCTATAATTTTCCGAATAACGATCTTCGGACTATGTACACGTCTGATCGATGAAAAATCGACGAATCGATTCGACGACGGGAGATCACGCGAACGAATCTATATTTACAAAACGACGTCAACTCTGCTTCTGATCTCGAGCCGGTGTATTCCAATGATTCGTCGGGGGTCGCGTTTTGGTATCGGTACGCATAGCGCGTTGGTAACGCCGAACAACACGTTTCCTTTTAAAGCTAATATATTTACAAGTCTACGATCGCGAGCTAAAGTGAGGGAGAAACGTACGTAAACAAGTTCGGCGCCGTAGGTACGTGTAAACTGGGGCGAGGAGCGCGCGAAAGTGTCGGCGCCGATTTATCGGAGCCGCGGCAAATTTTCGCGAGTATTCGAGTCGGAAGAAAACATCCCGACAGGACGTTCTGCACGAGTGGAATCTCGTTGGACTCTAGCTCTGTCTGCCGGTGAGCACGGTGATGGGTTTCAGCAGCAACTGCGGTGGATTGCGAGGAAGAGACCTCGGCTGTTGAACGACGCCGGTATTGCAGATCGAAGCCGGCGGCGAGCGAGGAGACATCGGTTCGGGACTGCTGCCAGGCGACGCGGTCGCCGACGTCATCTGGCCCAGAAGCGGAGCCTGACTCGCGTGATACCTGCCAGGTTGTTGCTGACCGTGTCCGAACATCGTGGCAGAGTTTTGATGCTGCTGGTGCGCCGCCAGAGATCTCAGGGTGGAGTAAAAGTCGTAAGGGTTGCCGGAGACGGGAATCCCGGATGCGGTGATGGTCGTAGGGTAACCGCCGGAAGTCGGAGGTTGCAGCAGCCTCTCCATGGAGAAGGGTCCGTGTGCCGGAGGCGCCGCGGACGCCGGGAGCGGTTGAGGCTTGCAGGGCAGACTGGCCGGCGAAGAGGTGACCGCGCCGGGTAGCAAGCTGGCCGGGTAACCAGCCGGAGCCGAGTAAGCTCCGGTGGCCGTCGTGTAACCGGCGGCGCGATGCAGATAGGGAAGCGTGTAAAGCGAGGCTGGCCATCCGGGCGGACCGTAGGCCGTGGGATACAATCCTCCGAGGACGACGCTTCTCTTGAAGGCGGCGAGTCGCGACCTGGATGCAGCGGTGGTTCTTCTGCGCAACTTTCCGGTGGTGCCGCCGATGAACACGTCCTCGGAGCTGGGATCGAGCATCCAGTAGTTTCCCTTGCCCGGGTCGTCGTAGTGGCGAGGAACTTTGACGAAACACTTGTTCAACGATAGGTTGTGCCTGATGGAGTTCTGCCAGCCTTGCTTGTTGTTCTCGTAGTAGGGAAAGTGACGCATTATGTACTCGTAGATCCCGTTCAACGTCAGCCTCTTCTCCGGGCTCTGTCTTATGGCCATCATGATGAGCGCGTTGTAACTGTACGGCGGTTTCTCGCACTTTTTCTTCTCGTCCTGGCGGTCCTTCGCGTCCTTGTGGTCGCCGGCGACGCCGACGGCGGCGTTCGTCGTGCAGTCCAACGGCGGCGTCTCGTTCCCGCCGTCTCCGGTCACGTCGAGATCGCTGGAGTCCTCGCTGTCGTCTACGTGACCGATGTCCGGTGACGCGGATCGCCTGTCCTCCGGCGCGGGCGTTCCCGCGCACGCTTCCGGCACGATGTTCCGGATGCTGAAGTTGCTCTTGAGAACAGCTCGAGGCGGCGGCGAGGCCGTAACCGTGTGCTGCTCCCCGGAACCTTCCATGTTCACCATACTATCCGACTCGTCGCACTCGGGATCTCGCGGAACGAGCTCGCTCTCGGCAGCACGGCACAATAAACGACGGTACACGTTATGGAATTTGTCACGACAACTGCAAACACACCACTCCGAGACTCTCGATGGGTAATATAACATGTACGTACGCGCGAGTGTCTTTACTTTCTGCGCCGAAAGCAGCTTTCTGAGCTGAAACTGGCTGCTTTCGGTAACTGCGATCGATGTATCCGGACCGAGCGGTGTCGCGTATCTGCCGTCATCCCCGCCACGCGGCGCATTTATAGCCTCGGCCCGGCCCCGCCCACGAGTCGCCCAGCGTATACTCGCGAGCCGGGATCCGACCAATCGGGCGCCGCCGCGGCCTGCCCTCCACCGGCGCGCTCCATTCGCCCCACCACGATGTTTTGCGGCCAATGTTTGACAGCAAACAGTGCAAACAACGCGGATTTACGGCGGGGGCAGGGATTTCGAAGGTGGCCGATCGGGCTCGAGCCCCGCGGCCGGTGGTGGGGAGCGCAGCCGCAAACTATACCTTTCGACTGCGAACCCGCATATACAAACAAATCCAAACGCCGATAGCTGGCTTTTCTCTACGCCCTCTTTACGCCGCGCGCGGGCGCGGTGCCGCACTACCGCTCGAGCCTCCGCGGGGACCGACGCCGACGGTGCTCGTCCACGCGTGAATACACCCAAACGAGACGAGGTAAATGCCCTTTGTTGTTCCTGCTCCAGCCGCTACCAATGGTCCTCGATCGAATCGTACAACAGTCGAAATGGATTCCACCCTACCGCTCCACGACTAGAGAAACGCACGCGAACTGGATCGCGTTAGCGACCGTTTCTTCGCGACATTTTTAACGAGGATACCAGGCGTGCGGTCTCGCATGCATTCCTACCCTCTATGTCTGTTAAAGATGGTTGTTGAAGTTAACTTTTCTCTAGGGTCAACAGCGATCCACGCGTCAGGCCCGTCGTTAGGTTCTCGTTTCGCGCAACTCTCAACACTGAATTCAGTTATAAATCGATAGGGCGCTGTAAATCGAAGGGCTGTATATGTACAAGTATAAGTATATGTACAAGTATAAGTATATGTACAAGTAGACATTTGGTGTTGGAAAAAGTTCTCCTGTAGGGAGGAATATTGTTTGTTGGACGCTGTGAAGCTACTTTTTTAGGAGGAAATCGGTTCGGTAGTATGGCAGGATTGTAGAAGAGGGTGAAGTACAGTATAGTCTCCATAAATGCGTCAATTTGTCTATGATAAGTGCAGGAAAATTGGTTCGATAATATGGCAGGATTGTAGAAGAGGGTCAAGTACAGTATAGTCTCCG